TAGCAAAATCGATAAATATCGATAAACATCCCTAACAAGGTCGATAAATATCGAAAACAAAATCTATAATTATCGATAACAAAATCGGTAAACATCGATAACAAAATCGATAAATATCGATAACAAAACCGATAAAAATATGGATTATTTAATCGATAAGTCTCGAGAATCTCGAAAATCTCTAAAATCCCAAAATAGTTCCCAGATTGAGTCTCTGTGTCTCTTCTATATCGTTTCCTCTTTAATTACCTTTATTTTAACCTTTCTTCCCCTATCTTCATCTTTACTTTTATCGGTATCCTCATCCTCATCTTTGTTTTTACTTTTATGTTTATCATTTTCATCATCAACATACTCCCCTTTACCTTTGCCCTTATATATATAAGTAAAATGTTTAAATTTACCTTGGTCCTCGTTTTTACCTTTATCTTTACACATATTTTTTTTGTTTTTATTTTTATTTTTATTTTTACCTTTGCCTTTATAATTTTCTTTATCTATGTACGTACTCACCTTTACCTTCATTCTTGTATTGTTATTTATAAGTGTTATCCTCTAACCTTTTATTAGCAAGTTTTTGTTAAATTCATACCATATGCATACACACAAGAAGTACTTGTTTCAGCCCCAACCATTTCCGTTGCACCATTTCCGTTGCACCATTTCCGTTGCACCATTTCCGTTGCATCATTTCCTTTGCATACACACAAGAAGTACTTGTTTCAGCTCCATCCATTTCCGTTGCATTATTTCCGTTGCACCATTTCCGTGTGCAATTTCCGCTGAATTTGCCAATTTACTCCCAACCAACCAACCGCCGCTAAAGAAGTTTCACTTCAAAAATTCAGATTTATCAACTTTGATATTCTCTTTAAACAAATTATTTCTCAAGCTATATAATAGATCTTTGGAAGGAGTTTTGACTACGTCGAATAGAACATAGCTTTTTTGTGATTTTTTTTGCTGCGCTTCCAATAGCTGCATTTGTTTCTTTCGGTATTATGATATTTGTGGACCAATCTTAAAACAAAACTAGTAGTAGTAGTAGTTCCGTGTTTTCGTTGCCGGCACTCAGCAGTCGATATACGTTGTCGATTAAATGCTGTGAAGTATGCAGAATTAGCAAATGTTTGCAAAAACCAACAAAATTGCCAGATAAATAATCTTGGGAAAGCCTAAAAAAATTTTACGATTGAAGATTAAAATGAACAAAAAAAAAACTTTTTAACAAAACTTGTTTTCAAATTTCTCGTTAGGGTAATTTATTTTAACCTAAGTTTTACTTTTCGCAGACATTGGGGGGAGGGGGGGAGAGGGGGAGGGGTCGAAGGGGGCGAAGGGGGCGATGGGCGATCTCCCCCTGTATCCGCCACTGCCGTTGACGCCTGGTCACATTTCATAAATATTATGCCAGTGACATTTGCGTTTGTATAGGAATTCCGTTGAATTGTATTATACAAAAGTAATATGTGCATATGTGCTTTTATATTGCTGGCGTATGAACAAGCATACATATTTACATGCGAGTACATATATGTACATATGTATGTATGTAAGTATGCTTATGAATGTACATAAAAGCAAGCGCCAACAAACGCATGCTAGCCAAGTACAAAATACACACCACATTTGTTCGCATTTTCCGCTTCCACGTCATGGCTTCCGCATGGTTAATAGTCACACATGTTTATGGATGTGTACAACATGGTAGGTATGTAGTATGTATATGAAAAGCAGACGCATGCAAACCTGTAAAAGATTGGCCTCTAAAATATGTTACGTATACGCACCGTAAATCGTATGTATCTACTCATAATACTTTCATAATGCATTTGCTTGATTGCTTTCGTCAAGGTACATGTAATGGGCACAGAACAATACCTAAGCCGTTACATGCTGGCTAAAAAAAACTGGCTGAATATTAACTAAAGCTTAAATAGGGAAACAATTTTCTACTAACTCGTGAGCCGATTTTAAATAATATAAATATATGTGTGTTGGTGTTGGTTGAATTTTCCGACAGGGTGGTAAGATGATTTATTTTGGAACGAATTTCCGTCATCCCTTGTCAAGTTTGGTTTGCAGACAAACCGGTTTCGGCATTGTGCCATCTTCAGTGACATTTTTCGTTCGTATAAATATATGGTTGCAGCTATTTTTTTCCTGGAACTACCCTTAGGTAATAAAAGCATTTAAACATAAGACAGCTGCGTTAAAAAGATTCTAAATTTTTAAACCCACATATTACTAGCTTAGAGTTGAAAAGTGGCTAAGTCCACTTTTTGGGAAAACTTATAATACGATAAAGGAAGCAAGAGAAATTAAAAGTGCATCGTTTACAAAAGGATTAAGTTACATCTTTAATTTCTTCCCGCTTATAGCCGGAAGCCGAAAGGCAAATTTGCTAAGCCCAAAAGCGGAAGAGAAAATTTGTAAAAAGTCAAAATAATACGATATTTTTAAATTGACATCGTATCTCTCTAATTCGTATGGAGACTTGCTTTGCTTTAATCACGCAAAATGTTGTGTTCGAAGTTTTGCAAAATACTCCAAGAAAGTGGCTATAAGAAGCTTTGTTCCTCCCCTGTGAAATTAGAAAATACACTTAGGAACGATATTTCATTTTAAATGCAGCAGACAAATGGACTAGCTCATACTATCTTAACCGATTTTCATGTTCAAGATCCTCGTATATACATCTGGAATGTCCCGACCCTCCATAGGAAAAGTGCTTCTATTCAACCGCGGAATTGCTCAGAAAAATATGAGGCTTAAATCAGCACAGTACAGGGAATACTACACACAAGTTTAGTGTGAGATTTGTAGTTGGGCGGAGGCGACCAGATTCACCCTCATCAGTGAACAAATTGCCACAATCCGCATGAAAGCGAAATATATTTGAATATGCAAATTCCAAAAAAAAGAGCACATCTCGTATCAGTCCATAAAGACCTTCTTTCGTATCAGTGTAATCTAAATGTTTGTCTGTTTGTTAAGCTTCAAAAGGACTCATCTTTTTATCAATTCTACTGTTGACGTCCTGGCGAGTACCGAATAATTTTAAAAAGATCACAACAATAATTAATTTTTTGACGTAGAATACGTCTTATGTTTCGGTATAGATGCCTTGCTCAAATGCTGCAGTTGTAATTTTTAGAGCTTTTCAAAAACGCTTATTGCACGAGTAATAGTAACGGAGCGATTTCAAAGAAAGTTCATCGTTTCAAAGAAAGATCCATAATTTACTGACTGTTTTATTTTTAGAAGTGATTACTTTGTTTATTTCGTATGAACAACTGTAAACATTAGTTTATTTTGGGGTAAATTTTGAGCCTTTAAAATGCTGTAGAAACTTAGGTTTTGCAGATACAACTTTGATTTTTGGGGTATGAACTCTTTAAAGCAATACAAATTTTAAGCATTTTAATGCAATGCAATGCATGAATACAAAATCATTTCGTCATCATTTTGCAAACAGGCGCATGCGCAAGAACAGTTAGGCTACTGAAAGTGACAAGAGAAGAAAACAGTTTGTGTGTGTAGTTTATGTATTTCGCCCATTGAATGACAGATGGCGCAGGTCAAGTGAAATACTTATAAGCTAACGTTCGATTACATAAAATGGGGTATCAAATTAAAAGGCTTGACTTGTAGATGTGCATTTTTTTCGGAAAAGGTTGCCACATGATGATAAATTGAATTCAAACTACTAATTAAGTTAAATCAATTAGTACATTATGGGCATAGGTCGAAATGATTTTGAAAAGGCTTTATTTCTTAGTTACATGTAGGGGGGTTGTCACCTGTTTAAAAAATCAAGTTTAACTTAAGTGAATGCAATAAGAGGATGGAAATACTATTTATGTATCACGATATGGGTTTCAGACACACGACGTTGTGGCTTAAAATATTTTTAACAGGGTTGTCACCTGCTTACAAACTTAAGTTCAATATATACAATAGGTTAAATTAACTACTTCAATATGGATATAAATCAAAATGGTCCTGAAAAAAGCTTTATTTTTAAACAACATGTAGGAGGGTTGCCACTGCTTTTAAAAACCAAATTCAGCTTGAATTTAGGGAATTTGTTAATAGAAATATGAATCACAATATGGGTGGCAGGCGAAAAAGGTTAGACAAGGTTTTGTTTTAAAATATTTTGAACAGGGTTGCTACCTGTTTGAAAACGCAAAATTTATTTGTGTTTGCATAAGTTATATGAAATAAAGAAATATTTGCGTCAAACGAAGGAGTCGTGGAAATCATTAGTTTAAACATTTTGAATATTAAAAAGGGTAGGTGTTAACCCCAAACTTTAACTTTAAAACGTTATACTCAAATTCCGTAATGAATTAAAAGAATTATTAAAAGATGGTTATCAAATGAAATGGGTTCAAAAAGCCTTTATTTCTGAAATTAATTTAATAGGGTTGCCACTTATTTAAAACATCAAATTAGGTAATTGAAATTAGTATCACAATGTCAGACGCAAGGGATTTACTTACGTATTAATAATATTTCGGAGGATTGCCAACTGTTTGAAAATTCTAATTTAGCTAACTTATACACAAGTCCGAAAGTGAAGGCAATGCAAAATAAAAGTGAATCGCAGTAGTTGCAGATGGCGCTGGTAATATATTTGCTCATAGAAGATACTCATCATCACATATATTTACTAGCTGATAACACATATGATTGAAATTCATGTTGGCCTGCTTCTCTATTGCAACTGTTCATATTTTGTATTCGTATTGATTTAATACATAAATTAAATTCAATATAATCAAAATGAATAGGTCATGGTCAGAATTTAACATGAATGTGCTCTTAATAGTATCGTGCATTCTACGTTTAAGTTTAGGGGATGTGGCTCCGAGAAGACAAAAGCGCCGGACTGATCCTTTTTCTAATAGCTTAGAAATTTAATTTGTTTTATAGTATATTTGAACCTATCACATAAAACTGAACTATTAAAGAATCTCATTTTTTGGTTCCAGATTTATTAACAGAAACTGAATGCTGATAAAAGTTATCTACCAAGGCTTAAATTCAAATGGGAATCTATTAAGGTACGTATTTGCACAAAAAAATTATATACGATTTTTAGAATTCAGTTGATAAGGCATATATTTAAATTAATTATAAGAGTAAGATATGAAATATTTTTCACACAAACTGCGAATATCGACCTAATACAAATATAATATAAAGGGCATTTAAAATAGTAACGCGGAACATAAACGTATAAAGTAACTCACGCAAGTGTTATCAAGTGCTTCCAACACACTGAAATCTATACAAGAGAAACCTGGATTTTATTTTATTAATTCTAAGATGACTTGTGAGGACCACGTCAATGAATTAATGGGTAAAATCTATACACCTTGCGTTGCCTGAGAGAATCCTCGCTTTTCGTACCTTCAAACACGAAAAATAAGCTGATTTTAAGCGTAATTGTTCCCTTTATTACTTACTTCGAAGTTGTGTGTAGCAAACTGAACTCTCACTCGCTGCACAAACTTAAAGATGCCTGTAACCATGCCACTTCTTATGTATATGGCTTTAAGAAATTTGACATATAAGTATCTATCTTTCAACTCAATACTTGGCTGTATCCCAACAAACTAATTGTATAAAAGCTCGTAATTGTATTTTTATGTTTAAATTGCTTGTTTATTACTTTAATTACTTAAGCACTTCAAGAATTTTGTTTGTAAATGGTGTTAGACTTTGGAGCTCCCTTTCATTGTCTGTAAATGAACTCACTGCGTGAAAGTAGTTTCAAAAAATTTATCTTTGAATATTTTTCCCGGTTAAGTCGCATTATAAATTCATAATTTTTCTATTTGGCTATTCTACGTTTTATACAATTTCTACCTGTTTGTCGTATGATTAATATGTTACCTAGTTACATACCGTTTATATTAATATATGCACACATACTTGTTTTCATATAATTGCATTTTTTATTTTACTTTAATACATATTTATGTGCTCAATTATCTGTGTTGCGCAATAAAAGATTTACTCTTAATACGCTAATGCATTTAATGAAACAAATAAATGAAATGAAAATGAAGAGTTTATATACTAGGGACTTGGGAAGGCATAGGTATTCTATATGATTTTACAGCGCTATTATTCTTGGCCTGTGAGTGTTAAGGGTTCTGCTCGTCAGTCGTTTCAACCTTAACTACGATATTTAAGTTTACCAATGGTTTTTCCTTTTCCGCACTAATTTTACATTGCCCATCGCAAAAATTCTTATCAGGCGCCGCGAATCAAGCCGAACATTTGCTAGTTTTCACATATACAATATCTATATATGAATTAAGTGAAACAAAGTCGCCAAGTTCATCCTGTTCTGACCGACGTACAATTAATGCAGAATAATTTCGGTGGTTAATGGAGTTGTTTGTCATGATATTCCCACGCATGTATGCATGTTCAATGGATTCACAAAAATTCAGTGCAATAAAAAACTAAGCAGCGCAATGGCGCACACGAAAAGGTCAAAGTTCATCTTAGCATTTGACACGCATTTCATTGCAAAGGGCAAAAAAACAATAAAAGCTAAACAACAAAAAACGAAAAAAAAAAATTAACCAACGCTTTGCTGGTTTCTTATTGGAGCGGTTGGTATCTGACGCTCTATGCGTTCGAGTTATCGAATTTTCTGAATACAAATAAGCCAACACACGTACCTATTTACATAGTTATGTACCTATATACGTTTGTACATTAGACTGCATTACAAAAAAAGTAGCGGTTTTTAAGTCTGGATAACAAAATTTATTATATTTGAAGACATCCACCAAAATATTTCGGAAAAATATTGAGATTTACGTGAGCTAGAACGATTTGAAAATACCTCCAAAACTTTAGTTTTTTATGTATAAAAATAGTACTTTTTGAAAAAAAGTCACCTTATAAGACAAAACAGTTTAAGCTTAAAAAGTTACATAAAAATATTAAACAAAATTTTGGTTCAAGGGTTAAAATAATAGATTTTATAATTCCAATCTCAGTGAAGCAAAAGTAGGTACAATAGTGCCATTTTTGGCACTTTCATTCACAGAGGCACTTTTGGCCCATTTCATCGAAATAAATGGCTACTATATAACAAAAAATCACATACCACATTATAGATTAAAAAAATACAAAAAGTGATAATTAAAAGCACTAAAAATTCAAATGAGGGCCGCGAGAAATATTTACAAACGGCTGAATTCTATTGTGAATACGCAGTACGAAATGTAAGTTTTCGCAACAACAAGCTTTTAATTCAGAACTTTTAGGAAGATTCTAAGTTTGCAGTTTTAAAATCCATTAAATAAAAGTGCAATTTTCCCCATATACCGAGATTTTTGAATTTTTTTTTCTGACGGTGTCATATATTTTCATCCATTACAAACTTTTCGAACACACGTTATATGGAAAAAATGTTTGAAATTGAAAACTTGAAATCTCATTAAAAATTCTGAATTCAAAGTTTGTTGTTGGGAAAACCTGCTGAATTTTTATAATTTTTGTGCAAATTATGAATTAGACTTTCATATGAAATCATTCGAAAAATAATCAATGAACAGAATAGACGAAACTGGTCAAAATGTCTCACTGCCATTATTTCGCTCATATGTATGTAGATACATATGTACATATATGTGTGTAAAAATGTCATAATACCTATATTTCGGTGTATTTCCCCTCCGTAATTGGAATTCTGTATAATTATACCCGAGCGCACTTGTGCACAAGGGTATATTAATTTTGTTCACATAACGGTTGTTTGTAACAGCCAAAACGAATCGAGATAGATATAGACAAATGTATACATAAATGATCAGGATGAAAAAAGAAATCGATTAAGCCATGTCTGTCTGTCCGTCCGTCTGTCCGTCTGTCCGTCTGTCCGTGTACACGATAACTCGAGCAAAAATTGAGATATCTTAACCAAATTTGGTATGTAGGTTTCCCTTAATCCAAGGTAGGTTGGTATTGAAAATGGGCGAAATCGGACTTTAACCACGCCCACTTCCCATATAACGGTAATTTCCAAAAATACGAAAACTGCGATATTTTAGTAACTACTAAAGATAATTCACTCAAAATTGATATTTATAATAAGTTTTAGACGAAAAATAAGAATATTATAAATTTTTGGAAAATGGGCGTAGCCACGCCCACTTATGGTTATATGTGTATATCTTGGTAACCGCTGCACCAATTTCTTCCAAACTTGGCACAGTTGTTGGCCTTCGCACAACATACTAAATGGCCGAAAATTTTTAAAATCGCTCAATAACCACGCCTACTTCCCATATAACGGTAATTTTCAGAAATACGAAAACTGCGATATTTTAGTAACTACTGGAGATTATTCGCTCAAAATTGATATTTACAATAATTTTTCGACGAAAAATAAGAATATTATAAATTTTTGGAAAATGGGCGTAGCCACGCCCACTTATGGTTACATGTGTATATCTTGGTAACCGCTACACCAATTTCTTCCAAACTTGGCACAGTTGTTGGCCCTGGTACAGCATAAAAAATCGCCGAAACTTTTTAAAATCGGACAATAACCACGCCCACATCCCATATAACGGTAATTTAGAGAAATACAAAATCTTCGATAAATCAGTAAATATTGAAGCTAATTTATTCAAAATTGATACTTCCAACAATTCTTTACCAAGAAATACGTTTATGGTAAAATTTTGGAAAATGGGCATGGCACCGCCCACTTATGATCACATATATGTATATCGGTAACCGTTCTACCAATTTGTACCAAACTCGGTGTGGTTATTGTGCTTGCCACATATAAGCAAAACGTTGAAAATTATTGAAATCGGACTAAAATAACGGCCGCTTCTCATATAACGGTAAATTTCAGAAATGCTTGAAACTTCAATATTTCGAAATTTAAGGACGCTAAATTACTCAAAATCGATACACCCCGGCTTACCATCTAGCGGAAGGTTTCGGAAAGGTGAAAAAACATATTTAATACTTGCGCCGGGTATTTAATGTTCGGCTCCGCCCGAACTTAGACTTTCTTACTTGTTTTACTATGAATTTATGTATATGTCTAAGGAATCCTTCATAAAAGTGATTTACTGTAATAATTTAGCTAACTAATAATTATTATATTACTTCAGTGTATTTAAAAATATTATTTTTATAAATATATTGTTCTTAAAACGCCTTAAAAATTTAATTTTGTAGCACTTTCATCTTGTTTTCGGCACTATTTTTGCAGACCATTTGGCACATTTTGAAATTTTGAAATTCCATTCCTCATTCCAATGGACAGTACCGATTTTTTTTTATGGAAAGTGATGCAGTCTAATGTACATATCTAATGGTGTTGTCGTTTCTACAAAAAATGTTGCCTTTTCATTGCCTGGTTCTTAGTGTTTGCGCTGAGAAGGCAATGACAAGGTACAATTTTTCCCTAGAAACGAGAATGCCATAACTGAATATTTTTATTTTGTATATTCGTTTGTATGTGTATGTGTGTATATGCGTGCCAGTTTCTAGAGCTGTAACGCACGCTTGCTATGGCAAATAAAGTTCTTGCCTTTAGAAACTTTTTCACAAGTTTGTTCAACACTTTCGAGACAGTTGTACCCATACGTGTAGTTGAAGGATAATGTATAAAACACAAATGTACATATGTACATATTAGGCAGATGTATGCATATTCAACAGATATACATAAAAACATGTTATTCTGTTGTGAGTAGCGCAAAGTTTATTTGCCTTTCATTTTTATTATGTTGCAGTCGTCAATGCTTTAAGTACTGGACTTGCCTCAACATTACGGATTATATAGTTATCCGTTTTGGTGAATTGCGCTTAGCAGGTTACATGCTAGGTACGCGCATACATATGTAGTGAGCTCGTAATTCGTGGAGTAGAAATGTAGGCCTATGCGAAACTCATTTATTAGCACAAAAGCTTAGTGTGTGCCAAAACTTTTTAGCAACAATTTTCGAATGGAGTGAGAAAACTCCAATAGTGGTCTCTGGCATAGGCAAATTAGTCATGCTTAATAACAGCA